GGAGGGAGGGAGGGAAGGAGGGAGGGAGGGAGGAAGGGAGGAAAGGAGGAAGAGAGGAAGGAAGGGAGGGAGGAAAGAAGGGAGGAAGGGAAGGAAGGAAAGCGGGAAGGAAGGAGAGAGGGAGGGAAGGAGGAAGAAGGAAAGAATGAAGCTTGCTGCCAGGAAACAAAGCTGTGCTTGGTGCTGAAGGAATCCTGAGAGCGGAGAGAGAGGATAGGGCTCAGGATCACAGATGAGTCTGGGAAAGAGGTAAGAGGGAGACAGTAAAAACAACATTCTGTTTCTTGGGATTAATGGTCTTAGTGTACATGGAGTGAAAGAGGTAGTTTAGATATTGGATTGGTTGGGTACCAGAGGCCCTGCCTCTGTCTCTAATGGGGAACTTGGCAGGTTGTATCACCTTTTTGCATATCAGTTTATTTCTGAAACAAGGGGATTTCTTTATCCTCTTTAAAGTCCTTTTCAGCTTGAATCTAGCATACAACCTTATTGATTTTCTAGGTCCACAATGGGCATGTTAGTATCATGTGTGATCATGGGTGTAATGAACAAAATGCCATTCATATAGATGACTGCTGTTGACCACATGAAAAGTTAAGGAGAGAGAAAACAGCAGGGACAAGAGGGGTGAGGGAAAGAAGACGCTTGTGTTGTAGTCAAGGGTCTGCCAAGTATGTATTTTAAAACCAGCACACACTTTCCCAACCATTTTAGGATGTAGTAAGCAGGCTCATGGACTTTAAAGATGGCCATGTCCTAATCCCCGAACCTGTGACGTTATGTAACTCAGTTCAGAATCTGAGACAGAGAGATCTTTGCTGACTACTGAGGTATATTCAATGGAGTCACAAAGGTCTTTATAGAAGAAGGATGAAGTGGGTCAGAGAAGTGGGTGATGATGGAAATGGGTCAGAATCTGAGAGAGCCCGGAGGATGCTGTGGTGTGGGCACTGGAGACAGGGGAGGAGCCTGTGAGCCAAGGAGCAGGAACAGCAGGAAACCGATTCCCCTCTAGGGCCCACAGAAAGGATATGCCCCTGACAGTTCCTTGATTTTAGAATTTTTTTTTTTTACAGAAGTGTAAGATAATAAATTCATATTGTTTTGAGTGGTGAATTTTACAATAACTTCTACCTAGCAGCAATAGGGAACTGACATAGTGGCCAGTTTAGGTTTCTGCCTCAGTTAGCAGATAGTTTGACACTAATAGTTCTCAACACTGGCTGCATTGGATTGTCCTCTGGGGATGGGACCTGAGCTTTGGATGTTTCTGGAAGCTTTGACTTCATTGGGCAGCCTGAACTGAGAACTACTGATTGATAAGGACCAGAGATTTTGCTGGGTGAATGTGACATTTTTTTTCTGAGAATAGGTGTCACTTAGAAGAATTTTTTTGTATTTTTCCCTAATAATCATATCACATCCCTACTATTCTGAAATATCATGGCAGTTTGAATGAGAATGTCTGCCCTTGGCTCCAAATATTCAAACATTTTTTCCCCAGTTGGTGGCTCTGTTTTGGGAGGTCTTAGAAGGTGGGGCCGTGTTGGAGTAATCGCATCACTGGGGGCAGGTTTAGAGAGTTCTTAAGCCTTGCTGGATCTCGAGGTGCTGTCTTGCTTCCTGTGCCTCCTTGAAGATGTGAGCGCTTGGCTTTCTACTCCTGCTCCAGCCACCTCCTGCCGCCATGCCTCCCTGCCATGATGGGCTGTAATCCCCTGGAACTGTAAGCTCAAATAAACTCTTCCTTCTATAAGTTGCTTGGGTCAGTGTTTCTATCACAGCAACAGAAAAGTAACTAATACAAATACCTAAAAAGGTCACTATACTATTTGAGTCAGAGGAAGACAAAAACAGGAGAGAAAACAAGATATGAGCAAAATCAAAGCTGTTCTTGTAGCAAGTCACTACTGAAGAGAACTTGCTGTATTCTGCATTAAAAAA